TTATTAAATTATTCTTGCTTAAAGTTATAAAAAATTTTTATTATAAAAAATTTGCTTGATTTCTATTGACTCACCTCCAACTGTTAAGTGTCCCAAGAATTTATAATATCTGTAGCCTTATTAAATTTTAATATCTAACACATTTTGAAATTTATGAATCAATTGGGTTAAATTGCCAAGATTGTTAGATATTCTAATTCTAGCTGTATACTCCAATATAACATAACTCTAGATGTTCTATTTTAGTTATTAATACTGTATTATTATATTTAATAAAATTAATTTTTTTATAAATGAAATTTTATAAATTATTTTATTAAATTTATTTATTAATTTTTGATTAAATATTAAATCTTTTGAAATTTAGAAAATCAATTTAAGAGAGGGTCTGGTTTTCTGGCACACCTAAGAGTTGCTCATATAAAACTTTTTAAAAAAAATTTATTTGTAATTGAAATAGATTAATTATCTATTTAATTAATTATCTTTTTATAAAAAAAAATCTTAGTAAAAAAAAATTTAACTTTAAAATCTATCAAAAAACTGCTATGTTTTTTTTAAGTGGGGGTATTATTAGGGTGTCTCAACGGTATTATTACAAACATATTGCAGGTGCTATTGTGATGATTGCTAATTAAAGATTTTTTGTAGTAAAATTTTGCAGATCTGCGTTCTATATTAAAAAAAATAGAATTTATTAGCTTTTAATTCCTCCTGTAATATTTAACACTTTTTAATTCTATAAAAGTAAATGTTTAAGAAAGGTACCTTTATATTGTAACAACGTCAGATTTTTATTTTACTAATTAAAATATATCATGACTTGTCGGGATATCTACTATCATACGACAAACATAATGCAGACCACATAGTAAATTGTTGGCCGGGCTTTTTTATTTTAAATAAGATGAATATTAATTATTAAATCTAGTGACGCTTAAAAAAATAAAAAAAAAGAGCTATTAATTTAAAGAGCACGATAAGAAGGCTTTAGCAAGTATAAATTTATTTTCACATGTTTATTTTGTGAGAGTTATTGAACTTAGATTTTTTAAAAAAAGCCCGGCCAACGATTTACTATATGACCTGCATTAATGTTTGTAAATCGCATGATAGTAGATATCCCGACAAACCATGATATATTTTAATTAGTAAAACAAAAATCTGACGTTGTTACAATATAAAGGTGCCTTTCATTAAACATTTACTTTTATAGAATTAAAAAGTGTTAAATATTACGGGAGGAATTAAAAGCTAATAAATTCTATTTTTTTATACATTTAATATAAGCAAAATTTTAATAAAAAAAATCTTAATTAGTGATCATCACTATTACACCTGCACTATGTCTGTAATTAGACCGATATGAGACCATAGGGTATTATGGCGCACTATGTATTTGTATTGTATTACTGCATCCTCCCTACAGATACGTATTGTGAGGAAATACATAGTAAATTTAAAGAAAAATTGAACACGTGAATAATACGTGAACCATAATATTTGACCTTTATTTATTTTGTAGTTCCATAATTAGAACCCTGCTATTTTTTATAATTTGAATCATCTCGATGAGACGTACTAAAAAATTTTTCGATTCTGATCAGTGTACTCCGAGATATCATTGAAAAACTTCGGTGCGCTAAATTACTCACTCGTGCCAGAATACCAGACCCTCCCTTTAGTTTCTTTTTTAAAAACGAGTAATTTCCAACCAAATTTATTTAAATGAATTCTTAAGTTTATAATTCATATAAAAAATTTATTATTTGAAAGTTATCGGGAAGCCTTTAATTTTAATATAAAAAATTTATTACGTATTACATAAAGTAAAAATAATAGCAATAGCCAACCTATTATAATTGTATAGTATAGAAATCAAAAGATAGGCAATGTGTAACCATATGGTGAAATTACTTAATTGGATTAGCGAGATACGTACCCACGATCGTAGTAATGCACAAAATCTAATAACACGCACTAGAGATAAGTCCTAAAGGCGTGTTTCAGTATTTAGACGAAAAAATCGGGTAGAATCGGATAAATGATGTATTTTGACCATTAAGAAAGTTTCTTTCGAAGCTTACAGTATCATGCATGCATTTTGCATATAATCATATGTTTAAGATCTAGAACATTGTCATAGTCAGGCTAATTTTGGATGAATTCTATCTTTAATATACGTTATATTCTTCAATAATACTTCCCCTGACGCCAAAAAAGTCAATATACCGGAATTTTACTTATGATTGAATTCCGAAACTAATAAAAAATATTTTATTTTTTAGATTACAATGAAATTATAGAGACTTCAAATCCAAACCCCTTAACTCCACGAAGGCTTCCATACCTATCAAGTCGTTTTGTTAACTGCAAAAAATGAATTATTGCATAAATTGAAATGGTCCAGCCTGGTCTATACATGAAATTAAGCCATTTTTATATCGCAATAATCTTTGACATTGGTTTCCAATTTATGTATAGGTTGAACTAAACCGGGGTGAATTGCTACATCCTTATTAAAATAATCAATTCTAGGCCAGTCTTTTATTGACCAGGTTGTGCAATCTTATCAGATTGTCTGAACGAGCGCATCTCTAATGCTGTAATAACGACACTACGAATAGGATAGATGTATAATTTAAATTGAATGTTACTAAATAAAAATGAACCGGATATTATTTAACCCGAATTTATACTATGCAAAAATTAATCAAATGTATTGATGCAAAAATTGATCCTGAACTTAAATAAATTTTTTTTTTTTAAAAAAGAAAAAAGATAAAGAAGTAAAAGTTACTTTTAATTATTTTTAGACCTCAAGTTTTTTCTGTAATAATTTTCCATACGTATTTTGAAAATCATTAATTAAAAAACCGCTCATCATAAGATTTACATATCACTGTGAATCTATACAGCACAGACTTAATTAACTCAATAGATGTTAATTTATAAAATACATGACATGAATTAATAAACGAAAATTTTAAAATAAAAATAATTATAATAAATTAAACGTAAATAATGTTACACGATAATTTTGTGAGGATAGAAGATGTAACAAATCAATGACGCGTAATATAAAACATTTTCGTGTACTTAATACACGTAGTTTAGTGAATAAACACTATGCATGTTATTTTTAATGATATAATAATATAATATTATTGCAATTCAAGAATTGCAGTTTTGTTGGTAGCTGTGATTCCTAGAAATTGTTTATAAAAGTGAGCCGTTCTTCGTTCATTTTACCTACCTTCAAAAGATGGCTAATGATGATAAAGATGAATTTATCAGGACCATTATTGATGGCATATCATTTACTACTACTGAAAATACAAGAATACCGCAGCAAACACCATCTTTGGCAGAGACGTTATTTTTAGGGACTACTTTCTCAAATTAGCAAAATCAACTCAAATTGACGCCGGTTCGTCTGTTCGAAAATTAACGGCACTAATTCCTGTCAATCGGACATCGTATATCGCAATTTTATTTTCTATCTTCCGCTCGTGCGTGAATTTCTCATTGGTGAATTTTTTTCTTTCCTTATTCATTCGCTTAATCCCGTACGTTTTGAAAAAAGTGTTATATATACATTATTATTATTATTATTATTATTATTACTTATACAATTTGGCGGTTTTTTCTGTCTAAGCCTATAATAGTAAATTTTGATATTAGAAAGTTTACATTGGTAAAATGGATTGGTAACTTTATTTATTTATTTAACAATAAGAAAATTTATTATGTATAACTAAAATAAGCTTAATTTTTATCAATTGTAATTATGTTTAAGAATATTTTAACTTTTTTTTGTAAAATAACTTATAGATTATTGTGTGCATAATGTGTAGCATAGAAAACATTGTGTAGAGACAAAGAATTTTGTGATATAAATTTGTAGGCTTTGTCTATAGAGAGGTTTTTTGGTTTTCTTTTTTATGAGCGGGACTTGGTCAGTATATTATTGAAGCTCACAATATTTACATACATAACGATTCTTAGCCGATATTCTTCTATGCATTATTCATTAAAATTTTATAGCTAAAAATTTTTTCGACAAACAATGAACATGTGCCCTAGCATTTATCTTTCTGATTTTTTGGTTTTATTTTCTTATTTTTTTTTTTTTTTTTTGATTTCGCAAAATGACGTTACTGTATAATTGAATAATAAAAAATTTCATAGATTAATTGTCAAAGGTGCATCACATACTGTTGTGATCAATATTTATATAAACTGCAGGAAACAAAGACAAACTTGTAAATGTGTGATTACACGAACTGCTTTAAAATAGGTTTAGGAAATAATTTTATGTTGCTAACTTTGTATTAACCAGAATAAGTCGTGAATAAGAATCGACATTTACACAAAAATATTTTATTCATATATAATATTTAAGTGAATTAGTTTAAAATAATTCGGAGTTTAAGGCTTACTGAATTTAAAAAATCTGCAAGAACGTTACTTATAGTAGTTACTATACTACGTACTATTATGTTTCTGTATTCCGGCTGTAAGGTGTATGATCCGAGATACTATATTTAGATCAAACGGAAAAAAGATATATCTTTTTCTACCTAAAGATCGTGAGAATTATTTGACGTTGCAGAGTAAGAATAGTAAAATGATTGGTGTGATTTGATCTTCTTAACAATGTATGCACAGTCATTAAGGAGATCAACTATTAAAAGCATATAAAAATCTACGTATTTATGTAAATATGCAATTAATATTATTATATATATACTTATTATGACGTTATTTGTTTTGACTATAAACCAAATGCTATTTTTAGCACTATGGAAAAAAAGGATTACAACTTATTCAGCATGTTCAACTTATGATCCATAATTGTGTTTTGTTCTGGTAGTACCAATAATTGAATGTTGCGTACTTTCATTATAAAGTTAGAAAACATAGGAATAAAATAGGTAAATGTTCATTTTTAAAAAATTACATGTGTAAATAAATTTTTATTATATAGTTTCAATTTCATTTTTTTTAAAAAAAAGAATCGCAAGTTGATTAGCTTACTAAAATAAGTCTTAAAAAAAAATTTTGTAAATTTAAATTTTATTAATGTACTACGTGGACTAAAGTATTTACATACAGTAAATAAAAAATTTTCTCACGTTGAAAATTATTAAATTTTAAGCACCGACAGTTTTGGTAATATATTTAGTAACTATGTTATATGTTTATTATTTATCGAGTGTGAGTGAAGTGATTCTAGTCATTTAGTTAAAAGTCGAATGCATAACTAAATGATCACGCAATTTAATACTAATATCACTTTACCATGTCACGTGATAATTCATCATTCAGGGACTTAACCGATTGATGTGATGCAAAAAAAAATACAATGAAACAAAGTATTAAATCCGAAGATCATCAGCACGGCATTTCTGATGCATATGTATGCTAGATAATGATAAACTTACTTCAACATTTTGTTTCACGGATTTATCGAATAAAAAATACAAGTGATTAAGTAACCAAACCTTACTTTAAGGTCAAATTAAGTTACGAATAGAACATATGTTAAAATTTTGGAATACATTTTTTATTTTTGTTATAGTTTGAAATTTTGTCTCATAAGACTGGAATTACCAGGTATTTAAAAATATTATTTAATGATGTCCGATAAATTTTGCCTCGTGTAACACTCGAACTTTTAATAATGCTGGTCATCTATATATACGTAGTAATATTCCAATCTGAGCAATTTTTACTTAGTATATTACGTACGTACGTAGCTGAGTAAAACTTGGTGATTGAGGCAAATTTAGTTAATTCCGGGCATGAAAAGGCAAATTTTTGGACATCACTAACCTTAAAAAAGTGGTACGCATATTATCACGTATGATCATGTGATTATCATGTGAAATTCGAAGTAATCCAAGAGATTGACTGACTTTTAATTTTAATTAGATATATTAGAATTTAATTTAAAATATATTACGTAATCGCATTAATTGAACTAGGAGTTAAATTGAACCAGATGGTCATTAAATAGAACAGGTACTTCTAACCAAGCGTGTAGATATCATTATAAATAAAATGAAAAAAGGGATAAATTCAATGAATGCATCGTGTGCAGAAAAGATTTATTTCAGATAAACTCTTTCATCATAAGCCTCCAAGGTTGTGAATTAAAAGCAGATGAAACCTCTAAAATACGTACACTGTTAACAATTAAACTATAATTAAATGTATTGATGGGTAAAGTAAGGTCGTCAGTAGGTTCAAAGTAAATTTGATCCATAATAAATTAAACATTTCTTATTTTTTTTTTATTTTTTTTCTTTTAGAATTAACATCGTATTTTTTTTTTGGAACATTACCTATATAATATTGCCTATATACAGCAAAATTTAGTTTACATTCCTTGATCACCAATTCAATTCCAAATACCAATTGTCATCCCTTATGAATAATAAAGTCAACTGATTTATCGATAAATTTGTTCAAATTCTGTTTTTAATTTTAGTTATAAATAAAGTTAAACATCACAATGACTTTAATTATCAGAAAAAGAAGGATGACATAACCTTTCTTTTCGTATGCTTGTATAGTAAATATACGCAAGCTTACTTACATAAGCAAATATTCGAACCTTTTTTTGACGGTTTCTCACAAAGTTTCTTGATGAATATTTCAACAATTTAATAAGTTTGTGATATATAAATTATAAATGGTTTTAAAATACGATAAGATTCATTAGCCTTACTTATTAAAAGGTTTACTTATTTATTCCGTGAAAAGCAGATGTTATTCAGAAATTTAATTACAAGTAACCATTTCTTTTTTAATTCTTTAAGGAAAAAAAACAGCACCTAATTTAAATATACTTTTATTTGACTATTCAAGGGTACAAAATATTCGTTACTTGTGTCACGTGACTGATTTGATTTACACAAGCCCATTATCGGACTAATAACCTATTTTAGCACCAAATTTCGGAGTGTATATATTTGTAAAAGTTTTGGGCGCATGGTAACTCCTTTTGTCTATATGATGTCATAATGGCAAAGAAAAAAGAACTATTCAGCTTGCCTAAACAATACCACGTACAGGAAGACTCGTTTTTATAAAAGAAAAATAGAAATTGTTCCTATGCCAATTTACTAAAAGATTTTTATTTTAAATAAAAATTGATATCAGTCAAATTCTTGTATTTGCTATATTTGATAATAAATATCAATATATTTATGTTGACGTATGATTCGGAATGACACGTATGTACTACAAAAATTCTTTATCGCGAACACATGGATGGTATTTCGGTTTTAATTGGGTTAACTTGCGTGCAGTAAATAAGACCTTTTTTTTTTTGCAAGTGGATTATTGACATGCAGAATCTTTTTTCAGAAACTAAATATGTTGTGAATACGTTAATTACCTTAGTAATAAAACATAAATAAAGAATTTGAAATCGAATTTCTTTGGTATCGTTCTTTTCATATTCTTAATTAAGATTTTATTTTTATTTTATTGGTAATAAAGAAACAAAGAGAAAGGAACAATATGTATCCTCAATGAAATCCCATAAAAAGAAAGGCTACATAAAGAAAATCTGAAACTGTTTGTATCTCTATAGAAATTGTTTCGACAATTATGCATTTAAAATTTCCTTATCGTATAATATTCTTATTTAAAATATTATGTAACATTTATTAAGACCTTTATTATAGTTTCTACTGAATCATAATATATATATATATATTTTAAATATCATAATTATAAATATCGTTGCATTTTAATAAATATCAATCCATTATATGTGTGCTGCCAAGAGAAAAAGGTCGTTCAGACTTTCAATTATATTTTGTGTACAGTTATCAGTCTATGGAAAAATTTATCTTCATGATAGATTTTCCATAGACGGCTAACTAGGGTGTCTAACAGCCTATTAAAATTATATAGTCAGGCTTTCGGGATTTTAAGCGTTGGGATTTTGGAAGCATGGTGGACAAACCTCGTAGCACAAACTTCCCACGCTGACTCAGGGTCGATCTGTCCAATAAAAATATGACATTTACCGATCACATGCACAATTTTTAATCAGTTTATAATAATTAGAAAGATTTTTATTTACTAGATCAAGGATATCTCACAATCCAGTAGTCAGAATTTGATGAAACTTATACCATTTGATTCATTTAATTGAGACGAATCTAATGGTATAAAAATTATTAAATTCTACCTATTGGATCATAAGATATCTTCGATCTTTTATAAAATTTGTTTCTAATATAACTCATTAAATATTGGGATTATTTTGGATTAATTTTAATAAAACGTAGGCTTTTATGAGCTTTTCTTGTTACTTTGTTTTTTTAATGTATTTAATTGCTAGGTTTTGAAAGATCACTAAAATAAAAAGTACTTTAACGCATATAAAAAGTTAGACAAAATTTTTTTTCAAATATGACGATCATCACCAAATTCGGGTTTGTCCACCATGCTGATTTTGGATATGATAAGCTTGTATGATCTAACATAATTAATACGTATTGTAAATTTGTAAATCGAACCCCACATTAATATGATTATCGCTATAAATTTTGCCAAAATAAAATTATATTTATTGAAATAAGTAATTAATCAAACAATATGCTATTTTTTAAAAGAAAATTGAAGCTCTAAACTAGCTTTACACTGAAATAGAGCCATTTTTTAATCTTTTTTTTTTTTAAAAAAGTAAATATTAATAATCGAAACCAAGAACACTGAACATTAGCATTCTAAATATTTTTTATAAAAATATTTAAAAAAATAGTCTTGAGGTTCAATTTAAAAAAAAAATAATAATATTCTATTTAGTCAATTATTTATTTCAATAAATCTAATTTTTGGTTTAATAAGATTGATATACAGTATGTGTATCGATTCCAATAAAAAATCCGTAATTAGTGATGATCATTAGTGACCCTGCCTATAGGCCGTTACACACCCTAACGGCTAACTGTATGCAAAATATAATTGAAAGTCTGAACGGCCTTTTTCCCTTGGCAGCACTCATATCATTCATTATTTTTATATAGTAATAAAAGATTATTTAATCACTGAATAAATATAAATTTTGTAGACCAATAATTTCTTGTTATCTGGCATGATTTGACGGATACATGGGTATTGGCAAGATAATAGCAAAAGCACGTGGCCGAAGGCCTCGTGCGTCGCAATTATACTGTCGATGCCCATAATCCGTATATCATGCCAGGTAACTAGTTTATCTGGCAGGTACGACGTATACACTTACGGAAAGAATTTTATATTAATTCCGCAGATTTTATATTAAATTAATAAGAATTTGTCACATGATTTTAATAATAATTTGCGGAAATAATGTAGAATTTTTTCCGTCAGTGTTTATACAGTACCTGCCGGATAATAAATTATATTGCTACTCTCCCAATTACAATATTTTTTAATATCATTTAACTTCTATTGCACAGATATCATAGGTAAGCGATTATTTATTACCTGCATGTCCATGACGATTTTAGGTAGCGCACCCACAAAATTTTCCTACCCGTAATTTATAAAACCGCATTATAATTAGTGTTAGAGAAAGAACAGTGTAGGGTTAGGATTAGGGTTATTGCAATTAGTAAAATTTCACAAGGAACATTTTTAATTAGGCCGCAGAAGGTGGTTTCTTAATTAAAATTTCGAGTTATTTAGATTATTTGTAAAAAATGGTTTCGCTTCGTTTGTTTACGTTACACCTGATCTTGAAATTTGATTGGCCAAAAATCACAGGAGGGGAAAATTTTTGCGGGTGCGCTAGGGGGGTTGTCCATGACGAGCACTAATCTACTTGCAATAATTGTTATCAATGAATGATTAAAAAAATTTCATTAAGGATTTTCATTTATTAATCTAAATTTTTTTTAAAAGTAACCTTGAATAACACATATTTGTGTAACTATTTCATTAATTCATTATATTTTATTGGTACGTACGTACGTAATACGTAAACATTGTTAAATTCGATCATTTTTTATGCCTCGTGCTTCACATGCTGTATAATAATAATTATATTCTATTAGGGTTCAGATCAATTTAATTCTTCGTATAGCGTTTCTCCAACCCTATTTTTTCTATTTTTAAATTTTATGACTCAATACACACTATATTATTAATCAATCAAATCGTAGCATAATCATTATGTATGTATATTTTGTATTATATATGTGTTTGTTTTTTTTTTCGTAAAACAGGCAACGTATATTCGTTCCTTAACAGACATTATTGGTTTATAAAAATTTTAACAACAACTCGCTTTTAAAAACATTACACATTTAGATAAAAATTTAGTAGAAATCTCAAATGTTAATTTATTTATAAAATTTTAAATATAATTTATTTTAAATATATAATTTAATTAGATATATATTTATTTGTTAACAAACTAATATTTATTATTTTGCATAGTTGACGGAAAAAAATTATTAAAATATTTATAAACCTATTTTGTTATTATTTATTTAGTTATTTTTCATAATTCTTATTGTTAATCAAAAATAAATCTATATAATTTGTTAATTAAATTTGATTAACCAATTATTAATTATTATTACATTAAAAAATTTGAAGATTTTTTGGGCAGTAACTTATCCTGATTGTTGATGAATAAGGTCATGTGCAACCATATGATGAAGCAGAGCCCCGAGGCTTAATTTGCGATGGCGACAGGATTAGCGAAGTGATTAATACTCATAATTAATCCTGACTGATAAATTATAATTATCAAAGTAATGCAGAGTATCGACAAAATCCGATAACACGCCCTGGAAAGTAGACCTAATCACGTATATAGGTAAAAAGTCAGTAATTAATGTATTTTGGCCGCTAGTTTCTTCGCACTACATAGAACAAAAAGGTTTTCATTATTTATTTTGCTCACATTTGAATATAGTATAGCCACAAACATAATCATGTTAAGAAATCTAGAACATGGGCTATACGTAATGAAAGCACTACAATGGTCATGATAAGCCTAATTTTGGATTAATTGCACATTTAACATTAGTTTAATCGATGTTTTTTTTTCAATATCATTTTCCTCTAGTACAAAGGTTAATAGATATTATTGGAATTCTAACTTACAAATACAAAATTAATGAAATAATTATTTCTTTTTTTGGAATACAAGTGTATAATTGAATTTTTTAATTAACTTTAACTTTACAGTCAACTGCATAAATTTCGTCCAATAACAAAATTTATTATTAGCTTAGTCTATACATGATATTAAACCATTTAATGACCAATAAAAACTTGAATAATCACACAAATAGTTGTACAATTTAACACTATACATAGTTTACATAATTTGAAGTGAACAATGAAGCTATATCGAAAATTATTATCTAAATTCAGCTCAAGACGAATCCGGTCCCCTATTTAAATGTTTAACATAAAAAAGAAAATAGATCATCAAAATAAAATCAATGCATAAGAATATAAGAGTATAGGTTAGGCGAGACCAATTTAATTCGGTGGTTTATGTTACCCCCCTCTTCTGCCTTCCTCCCTCACTATATATACGGAAAATTCCGGAAAACTTTTATAATATCGCGGATCATTTTGGAAAAAATTATAATAGACTCTCTCCAGCTTCCCCCTCCCCTTCCTCTTTTGTGAGAAGGATGTAACGTAAACCACTGAATTAAATTGGTCTCGCCTTATCTATAGATCGGATCAGACTAGAGTGAACTGGCGCATCCTTATCAGAATAATCAGTTCTAGGCTAGTTTTATTACCAAGTTGTACAATTTTATCAGTCTGTCCGGGTGAAAGCATCTTTAATATTGTCATACTGTAATTAACATTGCAGCATTACAAACAGGACAGAATTATGGCCTACTGTAAATTGAATGTTACTATATATTAAATGAATGCAGATATGCAGATATCACTTAAATCCGAATTTATGCTTTATACAATAGAAAAAAAATTAAAATGAGATTCTTTAAAAGGGAAATAAGTGATGCTATTTATACTTTTTTTGCTGCAAGTTTTTTCAATTCCACAAGACATGATTGTATTACAAAGCTAAATAGAATTAAAAACCTTCGTCGTGTCATAAACCCGTACACCCTTAATTAACACTGCATATTTCAAAATATAATGAATCTAATTAGATGAACTTTAAAACAATTAGGTATAATACGCATGATATATAATAATACTATAAGAATGAAGACTTGCAGTTATTCCCAACCAATAACCAATGTTTTTTTACATTGGGTAAAATGGGATGTGTAAATCCTATTTTACCCGATGTAACAAACATCAGTGATTGGCTGGGAATACCCGTCAGTCTACCCGGATCAGCCGACGGGTCACCCGAGTTGGACAGGTCCCAATCACTACTTTCAGTAATGTAACAATATTACATATTTTGACATAAAATATTCTTCAAGATACTTTAGTGGATAAATATTAATGCGTATTGCTTACATGTTTTAATGCTATCTCTAGTGATATTGTCGAACGGTGATCTTATATAAATAAATAAATATTGGTAAATATATCAATATAACGAATAAATAAAAATAAATAAATATTAAAATCTATCATATATATTCCAATATATTTGTATACTATATATTTTAATTTAAATTTATCTATATGTGTATATCACCTATAATCGATAGGATGTTACTCTAATTAAAAAATAATTGTACTCTCAAAATAGCATAAAAGTTTACTTGAATCTATTATAAAAGTAGGGCCTCTCATTATAGTGAAATATCGAATTCGATTCCACAATCTTGAGAGCCTACAAGTAAATTCACTATATTGATAAAGTTTTTATATAATCTGTTCTTCACTATAACAAGGTAACTTTGATTTTTACCTTTAACAAAAAAATGGATAACGATAACGCTAATCGCGAGCAACAAAATAATCAAAATGCCGAGTTCGTCGAAAATATAATCGAGGGCATAAATCCATTTGCTACGACTCAGAACGCGGGGGCTCCACAGCAAACTCCATCTTTATCAGAAATGTTATTATTTGGATCTTCGTTTCAAAATTAACATCGTCAAACAAATGAAATATTATTTATTAGGGGAATTGACGCTGGTTGACTTTTCCCTAAATCAGTAAATCACTTCGAAAGTTTTTTTTTTTTTATCTTTTACTTGTAGGTCATTTATTTGTTTCGTTTTATTTATTCTCGATTCCTTTCTCCTAATTTCATATGCTTTTGCAAAAAAAAAAGAAGCTATTCCTTGGCGGTTTTCGGGGTTTTTTTTATATAACTAGTATTAAAAATTATTATTGGAAAGATTTGATTATGTTGAAATTCATTTGTAATTTTATTTTTATTTGTTAAGAAAAATAACAATTATGTAATAAGCTTAATTTTTTATAACACATTTATAACAAGAACACTTTAGCTTTTATTATTTCGATCGCAAAAATAAACATTATTATGGTACACTGAGCATGACGTATAACACGGAAAACATTATTTAGAGACAAAGAACTTTGTGATGTCACTTTTTAGTCTTTGTTTTTAATGTCTATAAAATCTCAGATTTATCGTTGATTAAAATCTAAAGTTTCCTTTTTTTTCAGAAACACTGTATAGTAAAAATCTGTACCTATCGTTAAATTTCCCGCTCTATGTCAAAGACACATTACATATTCCGATTAAATATTGTTTTGGCTATATTTATATGAGTTGCAGGAAACAAAAGCCATTAGTTAATGTGTGACTGCATGGACTTTACAATTTTACTTTAGATTAACTAAAATAAAGTGTCAATAAAAATCGATATCTGCACATATTCATACAGAATATATATGTGAATCAGTTTAGGCATTGAAATAAAAAAATAAAATAGACAATACATGATTTCTTATTCTGAATATCAAACTTCTGAATAGTTCTGAATTCTAAATAAGATACTATATATAGATACGGAAAAAAGTAAATCTTTCTACGTAAAGGCTGTGTGGGATTTTTTTTTTTTTTTGATGCTGCAGAGTAAGAGTAGTACGCGGTGATTGGTGTCCTAATAAGCATGGTTACAATATGATTTTTTTTGAATGATACTTGTACAGTATTTACGGATATCAACTAATAGCATACAAATAAATCTTTAACAGTTTGTTTTAAATTCGTTAGCTAAATTACAATAAAAAAAATTACTGTTAATTTATATATTCATACAGCTGTACTCCTTATTTTTTGATTGACGAATCTGTTTTAGTAAATATTTTGTACCAATAATTAAAAGTTATGTACTTTATTAAAGAATCAGAAACATAGGCCTAAAATTGTAACTTTTAACATGCATAAATAAAATTTAATTGGTTTCAATATTTTAATTGCAGCGGAGATAGCGAAAAGAATCACAAAAAAAATAAAATAAAATAAAAAAAAAACTTTTTTTTTTTTACTAAAATAAGGTTTAAAATATATATTTGGATTATGCGGTGCTTATCAGAAAAGTTGGTTGTGCATAGTCAAGTATTTTTTTTAAAAAATATGAGAGTAACGGATTTCTTATATTAATCATTCATCGAGTAAATTAGCCATTTGATTGATTATCATGCTGATTAGGACGGACCAACCTTTATCATTTAACAAATTATAATTGATAATTTATTTTTCTTACTGCAGTACTGTTTAACGTTAAAAAGAATTAAAACAATGAATGATGCATGCATGCTAGATACCTAATGCTTCAATGTTTTTGTGTTTCACAGACCTTTTGCAATCTAAGTGAAAAATGGAATCTTATGTTAAGATCAAGTTTTAAGTTAAGAAAGAACGCATGCCAAAATTCTGTAAGAAAACTTTTTGTTATAGCGCAGAATGTGATTTCAATAGGCAAAATTTGAGTTACTGTCAATTTTTTAAAAAGAGTGTTTTATCATTATGTGATGATCTGTGAAAATCACTAAAATATGCCCGAGGTACAGGGTCTTAACCTATACCTAAAAATAAATAAGTTTAAATTTAAGTTTAAATAATCATCACGTGCTAACTAACCTTAACTCTAAATGAAATAAAATTAAGAAACGGGATAATAGGCTACCCCGGATATATTTTTAATGTTTTCGAAAATCTTGACGCATAGCGCTCAAACTAAGAAATTTTGCCAATCTTAGTAATTTGATACATATTAATGCATAATAAGAACAAAATTGTTTATATATTGATTTCTAGTAAATTAAAAAAAAAAACATTACATGAAATCAGTAGAGCCGCATTAAATTGAACCAATGTAAGTTGTTATTGAACTAAGCCATGAATTTCTTAGCTGAGTACGCTGATGTCATCATCATTAATAAAGAGAAAAATGGATGAAGTTCAATGAACGTAACGAATAGGAGAAGGTAGATTTCGGCCTAAGCTCTTTAAAAATCCAAAATCTCCGAAATTGCGAGCTTCCGAAACATTCCGAAATTGAAAATAGCATTGTTGTATACTGTTTAATAATTAGACTATACAATGATTAAAATATATTGATGGTGAAGTAAGATCGTCAGTAGGATCAAAAAATTGCTTTTTATAATTACAGAATATACCTATATACAGTAAAATTCAGCATATTCCTTGATGACCAGATTTAATTTAAGGGAAGATAGAACCCAGTGATATCTTCATGATAACCATATCACATGATTAAGTGTTCGGCCTACGTTAGGGTTAGTGTTAGGGTTAGGTGATATGTTAGTTTAGGCTAATTTGTTTAGTGCTAGTAAAAAATGACGTAATTGCATGATTTCACGTGATGTGATGATCAATGGGTTCCTTGTTCTTCAAGTGTCCATAATTTAAATACTGATTGTTATCCCTTATAGAACAAAAACTGTTTTATCGATAAATTTGTTCAAATTCTGTTTTTAATTTTAGTTATAAATAAAGTTAAAATCACATTAACCTTAGTTATCAGAAAAAGAAGGTTTGTATTAACTTTTTCTTGCATGGTATTATGTATCGTAAATCCATGAAAGCTTACGTAATCAAATATTCAAGTCTTTGACATTTTTTCGAAAGTCTTCATGATGAAATAAATTCCAATAACTTAAGAAAATTATAGTACATTAATTATTAATAGTTCATAAAATACATTTTTCGATAAAATTAAATCTTTAGATATTAAATTCTTCTGCGAAAACAGATTTAATGTCTTCACGGACTAAAAACAATACCTGCTTCTATTTGGGTTTAGTTTCATTCAAAGTTGCAGAACAAAAATACAAATTCGTCATTTTATTTCACGTGACACATATCGGCCAACATTCTATTTTGGTAATGATACAATGACATTGCATCGGAAGGTATTAATACAGAAATATATAAATGATTAGGCGTAAATGTACCAATTTTGTCGTTTTGTGATATTAATACGTAATATAAGCACACGTGATGATAAAAGTAAGTGCCTATTTAAATTTCCATAAAAAATACGTACGAACACACATTTAAGGAGGTCCTTTTATAAAAGTAAATGGCACGTTCTTGTGTTTGCTTGATATAATTTACCAATAGTTGTACCAATAATTGAAAAATCTAGACTCATTTCGACACATCTCACTTCACTGAGTCATTTCACCGAAAATTCATTTAGCCGATATCGCATAGTGTTAAGATTAGCATTGATTAGTAACAGGTGTATATTTCTAGTAAATTGTCACTTGGCATAATGTCGACTAAATGAGCTATCTGTGAAACGATTGTCGAAAGCCGGATCCTTTATATTTAAGTATGAATGAAATATTACTCGCATATAGTTATAAAAAAAAAAATAAACATTATCTGAACACCGAATGAGCAATCGAAATGGCTTGCATACGGTATATAAGTTAAGTTTTTTGTGCGTTATTACATACAGGGTTTTTTTTCAAAATGGAAATTTAGAACTTTATCATACTGTACTCAAGAAACTAAAATACTGTATGCTGTGAATGCGTTATTATAACCAACAAAATTGCGAGTGTTAATTAACGGAAAGACAAAATATAAATAAAGAATTTGAAATCGAATTCTTTTGGTGTGTTGCTCGCATGTTCTTCCATGTGCATAATTAAAACAAAGAAAAAAGGTACAATCACCCTAATGAAAATTCTATAAAAAGAAAGGGGAGAAATCTGAAACTTCTGAAACTATTTGTATCGCCATAGAATTATATATAGTATAGAGTAACGGAGGATTATTAAGTCATTGTAACAATATACATTTTGGTAAATGATATTTGCTATCTTCTAATGTAATTTAATATCATTCAACTTCAATTTGCCAGATATCATGGATTTACTTCCCTGCATATCCCTGATGGGCATAATCTACGCGTAATACAGTAATTGTTGCTAATGAGGCTATGGGTGAAAGATTTGCTAATTGTAAGTTTAACCTTATTTTAAAGAAAAACTTGATTAACACATTTATGTAACTGTTCATATTTATTAATTATATTGTACAAACTTCGGACAAATCGATCACTGTTACGCCTAGTGTTTTACGTATAATGACAATTGTTGTATATCATGAGTATTAATAAACGTATATGAATTGTAGTTACATTCAATTAGTTTACATCTTGAATACAAAAGAGAAATTAGGCTCTCAATCAAAATTAAGCAACTCACCAATAAATTTAGCCATTATTCATATGTACCATTAAGTTGGGTTCTTAATTATAAATGATTGGACCACATTCAGAAGAGAAATGTTTGTTTGTGATCGATTGTGACACATGATTAGTGTTCTGTGCAACAAATGCATTGTCTTTTTTTTTTTTTTTTTTTTTCAAGAAACACACATTCGTAAAGTACGTACGTACGTATCTGTTATGTATGTACGTACGTACGTACGTACATACATACGTAGTTGCAATATGCATATTTGTATGTATTTATGCCAGGGATACATATCATCATCAAACGTTTATTAAGCTTGAAAAAAAATATATATATATTAAAAAATAAATATTATTCATATAAGATAATTGAGAATACATTTAGAAACTCAATATAATATTAATGTTTCGAAACAATTTTAAGGAGTGAACCTTCGATGCTAGCGGTACCAATCATATTTTCTGTTCTCATTAATACATTCATTCATGTATAAAATTCTTTGTATTTTTTTCAATATAAACAAACCCCGATTTTACGTATCTTTGATTTTTTCTTATTATTTATAGAGTACCTATTTTGGTTTTATTGTGATGCTATATTTAACTTAACAATTATACATCAATGCTGCTCATTTCACCGACAGTCGTTTCACCGAAAACTCCGACATCACATAATGTTATTTGATTAGTTGCAGTATATTTCTAATAAATTGTCACTTGTCGTGGTGTCGGCTAAATGAGTTGTCGGTATCTTAAAACCATGTGGAATAAATGCGACTATTAATTATATTTAGAATTGAACAGCTAAATTTAATTTACTTTAACTCGATTTGTTGATTACTGAAAAATATATGTTTCAAGTAAAATACTTTATTAAAATCAATTATTAAAATTATCCCACGTTTAATTATCATTTACTCCTTAACGTATTTGTCAAACATTAATAATCTTTTCTGGGAGAAATTGCTGTCATGTGGTAATTAAAATATTTTGTGGGAAATTTTTTTTCTTGTATACCAAAACCCTTGCATCTAGTTACAAGTCATTACACACATATTTCTCAATTTCATATTATTCCTTTACCGATTATTCTGTATGATTGTTACTGTAGGTAATATGGCGTGATAATGGTGAATTTAACACCAATCCTTAATCATTTAATCAGAAGAGGCAATAAAAAGTTCAAGCCAAACCGTACATGTATATCAACTAATGTACGTAATTAAATGTATGCAAAAACTTGTGGTCGCTTCGATTATTTTTCTAAAGAGAATATCATAACAAATAAAAATATAATGGACCAATGGTAATTTTTTACAAATATACATATTCTGTAAATAATCAATAATAAATACAAGTCACTCTCGCAATATTGAGGCGATTCAAATGTGAAATTTCTTCATTACATTTATATAGAGATACACCATAACGAGAGTAGCTTATAGTTTTAATTCTGACGCTATATAAAAAAAAAATGCGACCTTGGAGCGATACTGAAACTGCTCATTTGTTAATGCTCTGTCAAATACATGGCCGTGATTGGCGATTGATATCAAAGTTACTTGGAAGAACTCCAAAAGAGTGTCATAACAGGTAATATTTGTAAATAATAATTCTTAATAATTCTTTTCTAACTTTTATTTTTCAATTCTTAGGTACTTTGAACTTAACCCAGCTCTCAGACGGCAACCTACTAGAGTCGTTCGCCGCCAGGAATAAAAATATTTACTTCGCGATTACAATATTCCGGATTTACATATATCACTTTTTCTCGTTAACAGAATTATACAAATGCTATTTAATCGAAATCAAATATTTTATTTGCAAAATCTGACACGCTAAATCGCAAAATATGATTATTGTAGTTTTTTTGTTTATTACATCCAGTACATTTCTTCGCAATTATTTTTCTCTTTCATAGGATTATACAAATGTTATTTAATCGAAATCACATTTTATTTACCAATTTGATAAACACTTATTCGCTAAATCACATAATACGTTTATGATGATTTTTCGTCCATTACATACATTTCCTTACTTATTTCAGATTTAAATATTTTCTTTTTCTCTTTAAAACAACCTTTATTTAATCGAACTCATAACAACTTATTGGCAATATCTGGCTTATTAGACCACACAATACGTTTATAGTGGTTTTTCGTTTATTATGTACTGTACATTTATAATAATAGTGATTTATTTCAAATACATGTATTGGCAAACGGTGCACAGTTATCGTAAAATAGAGTAATGTCATATTTTTTGTATACATATAAATATCTTCTTTTTTTATTTATTTAAATAATTTATCAGTTATAATTATTAATAAATAAATTATTAACTAAAATACTAAACATATATTTATAAAAATGTCGATGGGCAATGGAGTAATGGACTGGAACAGCCAAATTTTCCAATGAAATATGAAATTGTCAACCCTGATTCTAATTGGCAAAGTTTTTGATGTTTTCATATCACGCGTTTCACATTACTATAATACATTTATCAGTCGCATTTAGTTAGTAGGATACATGACAGATAAATTTATTTTTGTTAATATCCATTCCGTTATTAATAAATTTTCTATTTCTTTTTACCAATTCATCATTATTGTCGATAATCGAGATAAAATCTATCTATTGGTGCAAGTGATCTCTCACACATGGTAACAATCGGGGTCATATTTGATACCTATTGGGAGGTTTACTTACTCAATCCATTGCTCCATTCAAATTTTTACGTATAAGGAAAATTTTAACATTTGCCAACTAGTAATTATTGAAAGCTTAGTACACCGTGACGTTTTTTCATCTACAGTACTAATTAACGTATTTATTTTATTTATTTACTGCAAGCTACAAGATTCTGATATGATTTTCACTAATTCTTATCGAACTGATTCATGTTGATCTCTTCATTTTGATTGGTCTAATCTGAAGATGTAAAAACTGCTAACTTAAAAACGCAGTGACATAATATGATATTTCTAATGCATCATTGATTACTTATTGGTCATGCAATGAAAATGCTATAGTAAGAAATTTTTAATCAGAAATTAATGTCATTGCTACTGCAATGGATGGCCCTATAAAGAATGTTTGTTTTACTGAAATAGACGCTTCACTTTTGTATATTTTATTAACAATTAATATGAAAGGACACATTCTGAAACCTACTATATTACATCAGGGGCATCATGCCATTGTGTTAGTCTTGTGCTAGCATGTATTCTACTTCATATAGTGGTCTTTGCGATACTTGTTTGGTTAGAGCTCAATTATATACAAAAAAGGAAAAATTATAAAATCAATTCATACACATTACGCAGCGCAATATTAACTCCGGTGATGAAATTTTAATACTATCTGATATATATCTGATATGTGCGTATGATATTTTTGGCATATTATTTACACAAATAACCATATAGTCTTTCGCACAAATTAGTAAATTTGAAATTACTCAGGTTTATTGCATAAAAATCTAGTCGCACAGCATGATCACATATGTAAAAGACCTGAAAGCCACTTAAAAATGGTTCCAACGCTAAAATGACTTAAGTCATATGCAGGAAAAACAATAAATTTATTATATGTAGATCATTTTAATGATTATGTGTCATATCTATAATACGAATGCTTTATCATTATTCTTTTTGTCTAATTTTGGGAGTGCGTCAGGGCGACCACCAAAAGTCCGATCAGATGATAAGGCGCCACAGCCACATCATAATTTCTTCGAAAATTGTTGAATCTACATACCGA